ATTGACCGTCACATTATAACGCCCCCACGGCTGAAAGGGCGAGCATGTTTGGTGGGATGCGGATTCGAACCCGCGACCCTCAGATTGTGAGTCGAGCGCCTTATCCACCTGGCCATGCCGGGCCAGGTTTTAAGTGTCAACTTGGATAATAAATAAACTTAACATCACCGTATTTTTCTTAAGTCCTCCTACACTACGCGACAGTGTTACGAAGGTAAAATCCCCAGTTCCCAGTCCCAGTGGTGTATAGCATTCTGTGTGAAAATTAAAAACAATACATTGGGGGAACACAACGCCCTCTACAGATAGGGTTCAGAGAACACAAGAGATATCAAGAACCGTGTTATAAACACATCAGCTATAGCTTTTCACGTTCAAGTAAATGGCCATATAATAAGATCTAAAAAACGCAAAAATAACAGACAGAAAAAATAACACATCAAACGGAGAAAAATCAAAGAAGCTGTTGCCATCCAAGCACAAGACAGTGGGCGACCAGTGAGTATAATCAAAACAACGGCCAACAACTACTCAAAACTACATGGACACCACTTATCAAAGACATAAAACATTATTTCTTGTGGTTTCGATGTAAAATTAAACCTTTAGTTCCACAGTGTATTGTTTGAAGTATGAACAATTTATTTATTTTTCTATATAACATATATAATTTTATTTTCCTTATGTTTATTATATTAAAGTAATAGATTTATTAAGCAACAGTGTGTACGAGATGTTTATACTGTTATACAGTTACAAAGATCGAGGTTTCTGGTTATTCTATTTATATAACAGCTTAAATCTTTGATAGTTAATTCTATATTCATCATAATTTCTATACGGTTAATAAATTTAAAACCAGGTGTCAGTTACTGTTGTCCATAAGATATACGAAATTGTATTGCTAAGTGCTTTAATTATAGTATTTTGGCACTTGCGTATAAAGATAGGCCTAAATAAAATGTTTTTAATTGTGTACCAGATTAACGCTGAATATTATTTATGATTTTAGCTCAGTACTTTGTTGCGTGATGAAGGCTCCTGTAAGAGGGCCGAAAGCTCGCAAATAAAAATAATATATGTTAACGTAGAGAAAAATCCGTGCATAACTCTACATATGTCAACTAGGCTTATTTAACTTATCCTTTAGACCCGTTTTAAAATCAAAACCAAAATAGTCTAAATTCAGGTTACTTAGGTTTTGTACTTACTTGTTTTCCATCCAAACTGAGTATATTCTAATTTCAGCCAATTAACACATAGATTCCGTTAAATACTGCTTAGGTCTAAAACTTCGAAGCTAAATTATTACTACAATTCAGATTTAAAGTTTCAAAATAGGCCTGGGGAAGGTTACTGTGTTAAGGCTCGTAAACCGTTTTGGAATATTACAATTAAACCTTTTAACCTACGGGACGTAACCTGCAGGTAAGTATTATCATTAGAATAATTGGTTATATACTACGAATATTTTTAAAATTCAAACTGGGCATATTCTACAATGTAAATTCAGACATTTCAGAATTATAATCCGTCAAATGCTGTCTAGGCCTACAACTCTGATGTAATATTTTGCTGAATAATAGGCTTAGCATTAAACCGTTATTAACTTACAATTTACAGGTATTTTTCGGAAATATAAGTACCAAAAAATGGATATTAGAATACAATTGTATCTTATTTATTTACTTTGTCGTTACTAAAAATATGGAGAAAGTAATTCAAAAAAATAGAAAAAAAAATTATAACGATAAGCATATTATCATTAAAATTTGGAGAACATAACTTACGATATTTTCACCAAGATTAATTAGTTCAGAGTTCAAGCTTTTAGATATCCAGGTTTACAGTAGATTCGTAGATATACTAGGCCTAAAGTAGCACTGCAGATAAATGCTTACTCAATTTGTATTTTACATAGTTTAATAGACCTACAAAACATTTTTAGATATTCAATATATAACGTATA